GGTTATTGGTTTTTTTGTCAAATGGTTTGTAGAGATCTACATTCCAAAATAAAAGAGTTTCGTTGTTTTTTCTTTTTCTTATGTAGATATTATCATTTTCTCTATGTATGTTCAGTTAATATTTTACCGTAAAAAAATAATGATATTGTTTTTTACTAAACTCTCTAGTTTTCTGAAATCATATTAAATTTTAATTAATTTAAAATTAAGTCATATTAAATCTTATAAGTGAAAAAAAATTTTAATATCTGTTTTTTTATTTATAAAATTTAAATTTAAAATTTTATTTAGAAAAAACGTTGAGTTTTTTTTATTTTGATTAATAAATTATTGGTAGATGATACTAAAAATAAGCATTCTTTACATTTTCTTTAGTAATTACGTGACACGAATTTTTAATTGGTGGTTAAATTTTTTGATGGGTATAGGAAGGTACAAACCCCCTTAATTACGGTGAGTGACATTATCACAACTATTTTACCAAAAAAAAAGACATTATCACAACTCACAACTACTACTGACAAGTGACCAGAGTTTGTGGGTCCAAGGGCTAGTACGATCCTTGACCGCAAGGGACCTCCACCGCCCAAAAAGGGCCAGTCACAGGTTGCAATGATGTATGTTTTTGAAGACAAGATCATCAACTTTGAACTTTATCGATTTCCTTTCCCACCTGGGTGGACTTCACAATCACCAGATTTGTGGCATGGAATTTTGCCCTGAAACAGACCATGTAACTTTATGTCACCTGAGTCGTTGCAACTCACAAAAGAAACCAATTGATGAAACATGTGATTATGCAAAACAACTAAGGTTGTCCCCGAGCACGGAGCTAGGAACTTATGTAGGGGGAGGGGGGGTGAAATTTTAAAAATTTTATCATTTATTAGTTTATAAGGTAATGATTGATATACTTTTTAATTTAACATATTTATCAATATTTATTGGTTCAGTGACTAAATTTTGCAAGTGAAAATTTTTTTGCCTTGAATTCAAATTTTAAAATAATAATTTTTGAATAAATGTGTTATAAAATATGCTGAATCAAAATGTGCACCAATTATTGTTCTAGTTTATATGATACAATTTATATTAGTTTTTAAATTAGTCATAAATTTTATGAAAAGTGATTGGTACATAATAGGTTCAATACACTGCATAACACGCTTATTAAAATATTATTATTTCTTGATATAAAATTAAAAATAGATAAGTTTAAATATACAATCATGCATACATGATGTAGAAACCGACTAAATCAACTGCATTTATATTATATTTTTAATGATTGAATCAAAATTTTATTAGAAAATGTGTTGAATCGAGTGTGTACCAATCATTTTCTTAATTTTATACACATACCACTTATATCATCTACATTAATTTTAAATTAATTAGATATATATAATTATTTTGAATAGCATATAATTTAAGACCATTAAATAAATAATATAAAAATATAATTTATTTTCTTTGTAAGGTAACATATATCAAATTAATTTTAAATTTGGAACATATAATTTACATGAATAAAATAGATTTAACTGATGTTTTAATAGAATATTAATTATACAAATAAGAATTATATATAACTAATGTAAAAACTTATATAAGTTATATTTAATATAACTAAATTTAGTGTATTTTTTATATTTATTTTTACCTCGATAAAATTATTATATCTTTATAAGAATTAATCACAAATGATCTCTTTCATTAAGTCATAAATATTTCTTAGTAGAGTATCCAAATTCACTCCAAACTTAGGTAGTAAAAACGTATCCACCCTTAAATAAAAAATAAAGACAAATTCACCACAAAAGTTTTAATTTAAACAAGTAACTCATTATTTGGCATGTCATGTTCATCTCTCCGTTAACTGTTGGCTAACTCAGACTTTGTAAACACTGTGGACCAACTTTTGCTTGCTGGATGCTGACATGGAACCATTCTTGCCTATTATTTACTAAATAAAACTTCAAATCCCTTTTAATTTTTAAAATCTTGCCACTCTTTTAACTTTCCTTTCCCCACCTCATTTTCATATTAGATCTGAACAAATTCGAAATCAAAAACCCATAAAACTAAAATGAAGGCTAAGAAAAAGGGGAAAA